TCCAGAAGGAAAACCATCTCAGAATAATTAATTTGGTGGGGGGGGGGGAGGACTTTGTGGAGGATTTGCAGAGAGGAATGGAGCACAGGCACCAATTGTCTGGCATGTTGGGGGTCTCCTCTGGTGTAAGAGTCCACATGTAGGTTTATTGCTCTTCACAAAGTACATTACACCACCGTCCCTTAACAAATATGGAGGTGAATTTCTGGGTTTTGTTTCATAGCAGCATGTGTTGCATTTCTCTGGGGATTAATATTCAGTTGTGGCATTTCCTCCCCCCCCCCACCAAATTAATTATTCTGAGATGGTTTTCCTTCTGGACAATTAAAAATGGAAGCTAACTTTGGAAAGTTCCCTGGAGGAGTCATTTCCCCCCAGCACATGCTTTTGGTGATGCCGAGGAAGAAGTGAGGCCCAGGCCCTCGACGGTGGGGGCGGGGGTGCCTGCTTCCTGAGGCCTCACTCACAGCAGGATTAGGAAAGTCTTCGATGATAAATCCAAATGCCCGTGATTTACTGGCGGAAGGATTCATATACCTTCACATCTAGTGGTGCTAAGTTTTTGATTTGCTTAGCGTTCAAGTTATACACAGCTTTTGAAAGAACATACTTAGTTTTGAAGCTGACAGAGTGACAGTGTTAGTAATAAGCTCAGGCCCTGGGCAGAGCCCAGCTGTGGGACCTATTCGTGGGGTGACAGTAGGTAAGGTATTCAATCTCTGAGTATAATGATACCTCACAGGACGGATGAGGACTGCGCTGATGCATGAATTCAGAGCGTTGTCAGCTGGTTGTGTACCAGGACTTTGTGTCTGTTGCCCATTTCACAGTTTTGAGGAACAGGGACTGGTACTCCTGGCTCTGGAACCTGTCCTTTTGGCTACGGCTTCCTCTCCCAGGGGACACTGAGCCTCAGCACAACCTTGCTAGGAGTGGGGTGCGGGGGGTTGCCATGCTCCCTCCGCTTCCCAGAGGGAAGCCTTATCTGGTCAAGGCCCATTCAGTCCACTACAGGTGCTGAGCTGTTCAGGGCACAGGCAGCTGCACTCCGCCAGCTCAGGCTGGCCAGCCTGAACTTGGAGGAATCTGGAGCGGGGGGGTTCTTTGGGGGGAAGTTAGCTCCTTTGCCTCCCCCTTTCCAGACTGAACTTTGTTAATCCTGTCATTGCAATTTATAAGTTAGGAAATGCGGTATTCTGTGGGAAATTCTTGGAGCTAGGCCCTAAATTCTGTTCATCCTAGCCTGCATTTTGGAATCAGATCATGAGCAAAAATGGAAATAACTGCCACCAAGGAGAACTAAAGAATGCAGGAAACCTCCAGGAGGCCTTTTCGGAAGTTCTTAATTTGTGCAGAGCACGGCATCTGCTTGGTACTGTGAGAAGATGGGTCCAGAACCATCATCACCAACCAGTCATGGTGAGGGACCACAGGCTGTCTTCCCTCAGAGGCCAAAGCACGTCATCTGCTGTCCACTGGATTTCTGCTGACCAGCCTGAGGCTCAGGAGGAGATAGATCACCACAGAACCCACACACACCCCCTCCCGCCTGGGTTACCCCAGGCGTGGCTGGAGGTGCCGCTGCAGATGCACCTGCAGGAAGAGAATGCCTAGAGCCACTCACCTGTCCTCAAGGTCGCGTGGATCTTGGCTGTCCAGTGCAGCCGGCATACAAGACCCGGCCTAGAGAGGCAGATGTTTACTGACGTCCCTACAGCTAGGGGCAGCGCGGGCCAAGGGTGGGCTCTCAGGGCCCGCCCAGATGCCTGTGTGCAGGTAGGCAAGAGGCCTGAGAGGGGAGACAGCATCGAAGACCAGGTTCTGTCCTGCCTTCCTTCCCTTTGTTATGGGCCCAAGAGCCAAGTAACAGCTTCTGACTTTGCCAGCAGGAATTTCTATCACTTGCAGCCTGGCATGTGAGACCCACTCAGTCCGTGTCTCGCACATTCCCCTCCAGCATTTGACCCACGATCACCTTTCCACCTGTGTTCTGCCAGACTGGAAAACTGATGTTCCAGAGCACTCCACACACTTTTCCACCTCCACAGGTCACACACATGCCGTATCCTCCAACCCTGGAGCCTCTGCTTCTCTGCCTAGTAGCTCCTCCTTTGTGCCCCTGGGGACACGGGGAGCATGTCTGGCCCCAGAGTCCTATGCCCTCCATAGCTCGAGCCAGTGCCACCCCTGTGCTAAGGGTATGTGTCCGGGGGGGTGGGGGTGGGGGCGTGTCTCTGTAGTCTCTAATGTTAGACCAGACATTGTTCAGTGCTTGGCGCCTGCAGGGCACTTGTTTGATGGATGCTCGGAGCAAGTAGAGAGATATGTTCTGTAATGGTCTGCCGGTGGCTGAGATGGAAAGAGACTGGAGACAGAAGTTGCCATGGCAACCCAGAAGCAGTTGTGCCAGGGATAAGGATGTTCTGCTTTAGGTGGAGGGAGGGAGCCAATGCTGCAACTGCACACAGAGCGAGGAGGAAATGAGCTCTCAGATTTCCCCGAAATGGTTAAAATTCTCAGAGTTATCACTTCATTCTGCCCAGCAACAAGGCTCTTTCCTTTCTGAGGCTTGGTCTATTCTCTCTGGACACAGTGCCCAGAGGAGATGGAGATGACTTCGGGGGCGGAGGGTTGTTATGTGTCTTTCCCACATGGTTCCAAGGTTACAGCTCTCCCCAAGCAGAGGCTGCCAGGGTGGGGATTTGAGGACCCACACTGGGTGACTCTTTGAAAAGAAGCTGGAGCAATGAACTGTCTTCAAACCTCCTTCTCGCTTCTCAAAGCCCCACCTGGTTCCTGATATCCCCGTGTCGTCCCTTTTTCCTTCCAATCTTGGTAGAGCTTTGCTCTGTTTTTTAGTCTAAGAATCAGGTTTGGTTTGTTGCTCACCCCATGTTGATTCATTTCCTTGTCCAGTGATTTCTGTCCTCAATCTTCTTTTGCCTTCTTTCTACTTTCCTTGTAATTGCTTCATCATTGTTTTTCTAGCTTCTTGAATGAAATGCAGAACTCATCTATATAGAGGCCTTTTAGTTTTGGATAAGAGTGTGTAAGACATAACTCTCTGTGTCTAATTGTATCTATAGCTTGGGACCCATAGTATATGGGTATTATGATTTCATATATAATATATGGTTATTTAGTTTTTAACTGATTCCAAAAATTATTGCTTATTGGTTTCCAATTCCATTATGTCATTAAGTGGTCTGTGTATCACCGATTATTTGAAATATATTAAGATCCCTTTATGACCGAGAACAGGACTGGTTTTGTCACCATTTCATAGATGTTTGAAAACAAGGCATATTTTCTCTCCATTGGGTGTAGGTACTGTGTTTTTTTTCCTGCTTGAATTAAGATTTGTCTTGGCCTTGGATACTGGAAAGCAGCAGGAAGGGCCTGATGGAGGCGTCACAGGGGAGATTTAGTAACAGGAGGGTCTCAAGTGCATTTTTCCTTCCACTCAGTTTTACAGCCCTGAGGGCGACAGATGAGGGAAATCAGACTACAGTTAATGTGAGGCCCTGGCAAGCTGGCTGTGGTAACAGGACAGGGATTTTCACCCAGCTGTCCTGTCTTGAGGGTACTAATCCCTGTGAAGGTTATGGGGAGACTTGCAAAACTAAGAAGGCAGAAGCTCCTTTCTTTAAATGAATACAAATAATTTTGTGAAATGGTCACTCAAGGGGTTACATGCGACAGTAAAATGTTTCACCCATAATGTTAATCAGTGTGTCCTTGAATCTGTAAGGCAAAAAGTCTAGTAAGCCTTTGTATTTATCTAGAACTCATGGAATTTTAACTTTTGCTATTATACGTACCTGATGTGTTTAAACCTCCTGAGATGTAGGAGGGATACAAATTTATTGGGTTATTTGTGGGTTTAAAATTGCACTGTGCAATTTGGCAGCCACTAGCCACATGTGGCTACTTAAATTTAAAACTGACTAAAATGGAATTCCCTGGAAGTCCAGTGGTTATGACTCAGTGCTTTCACTTCCGTGGCCCGGGGTTCAATCCCTGGTCAGGAAACTAAGATCCCACAAGCCGCTTAGGGCAGCCAATAAATAAAGAAATAAATAAAATTAACTAAAACCCAAAATTCAGTTCCTCAGGCTCACCAGCCAGATTCCAAGTGCTCCGTAGTCACATGTGGCTGTGGCTGTGACATTGGGCAGCACAGATGCAGAACAGTCCCATCACTGCTGACATTCTTCTGCGACAGCACTGTCTTGGACCCAGCTAGCAGCAAGAAGAAAAGAGCCCAAAGGAATCCTCAGCCCAGTGGGGGGGCTCACCGGGCAGGCTGGATTCTAAGGCTTTGCAGGCTCAGCTGGCACTGGGGAGGCGCTGGTCCCTGCAGACGTGCAGTGGCCTGTCCTGTCCCACGCTGACCCTCGGTCGCCCTCTTCTCTCCCACAGTGAGCTGAGGACCAGGTACACATCATGGCCATCCCCAGGCTTGTGATCGTGAATCCGAGCGGGGACGTCATCACTGACAAAGGGCGGAAGCAGATCCGGGAGCGGGGGCTGGCCTGCTTCCAGAACTGGGTGGAGGCAGCTGACATCTTCCAGAATTTCTCCGGTTGAGCTGGGGGGATCTCCAGGGACCTGGGCAGGTGTGTGTCACTCCTGTTGCTACAGCGTGAACATGACAGAGAAGAGGAGCATCCTGTTTCCTTTCTCGTTGCTGGTGGTTTCTTTCAGGCAGAAGCACTCAGCTGTGATGGAAAGAAAATATTGCTCAGGGAATGCCCTCCCTGTAGCCTTGTTTGTAGTTATTTTTATTATTCTTATCATAGCTTTCTTCACATGAGCTTAAGTGTGTTCACATTGAGCTATTGGAAATCTATGCAAAACATGTATTTATACAGGCTCTTCAGGTGAAATAGCATATTTATTGATACATTTTCTGGAGATGCCTTTATTTTAATGATATGCTTTCACAAGTATATTTATTACTACAGTTTGCAGAATCTATTTGCTTTAATAAACAAACCTATTTCCACCTGGAGCCCTCTGATTTCCTTCTTTTCCTGGCAAACCAAGTGCCCTTAGGAGGAAAATGAAGCACTCGAGAAATACCATTCTCAAACACTTTGTTCAGTTTTTCAAAGGGGATAGTTTTAATTTTTTATTATTTTATTTTATTTTTTAACATCTTTATTAGAGTATAATTGCTTTACAATGGTGCATTAGTTTCTGCTTTATAACAAAGTGAATCAGTTATACAAATGTTCCCATATCTCTTCCCTCTTGCTTCTCCCTTCCTCCCACCCTCCCTATCCCACCCCTCTAGATGGTCACAAAGCACTGAGCTGATCTCCCTGTGCTATGCGGCTGCTTCCCACTAGCTATCTATTTTACGTTTGGTAGTGTATATATGTCCATGCCACTCTCTCACTTTGCCCCAGCTTACCCTTCCCCCTCCTCGTATCCTCAAGTCCATTCTCTGGTAGGTCTGCATCTTTATTCCCGTCTTGTCCCTAGGTTCTTCTGACCATTTGTTTTTTTTTAGATTCCATATATGTGTGTTAGCATATGGTATTTGTTTTTCTCTTTCTGACTTACTTCACTCTGTATAACAGTCTCTAGGTCCATCCACCTCACTACAAATAACTCAGTTTCATTCCTTTTTATGGCTGAGTAATATTCCATTGTACATATATAAAGAAGATATATGGATACCTTCTTTATCCATTCATCTGTTGATGGACACTTAGGTTACTTCCATGTCCTGGCTATTGTAAATAGAGCTGCAATGAACATTTTGGTACATGACTCTTGATAGTTTTTAATTATGAGTCTTCTTGGGACTTTTTTCTTCTTTTTGTTTTCTTTTCTTACACTTGCCTTTAATAGCATCACAGTATCTTAGAAAGAAAAGAAAATTTCAAGGCTGCATAGTCACATCTTCAAGATCAAACCTCCACATCTTCTAAAAGATGCTGATTGATCCAGGTAAATGAAAGTTCACACATAAACTTTTTTCTTTTTAATTTTTATTGAAATGTAGTTGATTTACAATGTTGTGTTAGTTTCAGGTGTACAACAAAGCGATTCAGTTATACATATATATTCAATATATAACTATACATATTTTTTTTTAACATTCTCTTCCATTATAGGTTATTACAAGATATTGAGTAGAGTTCCCTGTGCTGTACAGTAGGTCCTTGTTGGTTATCTATTTTATATATAGTAGTATATATCTTTGCTGATAGCAAGAGGGCTGTGTGCGGTGCCAGTTACGAGCTCCTGAGCCTCTCCTCTCGCTGGCCGGCCTGCTGGAGACGGCCAGCTGTATTCTGATCCACACAATTGGAATCGTGAAATACCAGGCAGCCACCTTTAGCCTGGTACCCATTTGCTGACCCACTTGGCCTGCTGGGTCCCTCAGCTGGGAATTTGGAGCAAAGCTGTCCCTTGTAGGATGCAGGAATCCCCATGTTTCCCTAACGAGGCCCTCTGTGGAACAGTGCTGGGCAAAAAGTGAAGAAGGCCTCTGGTTGCTCTGCTAAACCCAGAACATGAGAGCTGAGTCCTTGAGGGTGAGACCACATTGTTGGCTTAATTAGAGCAGGGCTGGGGACTCCATGGCGCAGTCACTTTGATCTCCCTCTAAGCCCCCATCAGTCAAGTTCTCTCCACTGAGACTGAGACCCAGCGTCATTGGGGTCCGTGGGTTGACTAAGGACGTATTTGATGGAGCTAACCTGGTCATTATTTGCCCCAGAAATAAAGTGTAAAAATGCAGTTTTCTTCCCAAAACAAGAGATGGTATATTCACTTAATTATGGTATTTTCCCCAGCATCATAGTGTTAGCTACCCTCTTCATCACATCACATCGTTACCATTGCTTTTCTGTGATGAAAACATTTAAGATCTGATTATGGTATTTTTAATCACACATTCTTAGGGGTGGGTGGGCATCTCTTGCAGGTGTAAAGTCCACAAACCATGTGTGCACGTGTGTGTGTTAACCACAACCAGACTTCTTAAAAAGTAGAGATATGTCCCTCCTGGTAAACATGCTCATTAGCTGCCATGAGGGAGCCTAAGCAGCATGCTGACCCCGGGGGCTGGAGCAGCGTGCTGCTGTGGGCTTGGGAGCTGCACAGGGTTGCATGTGTGGTCATTTGGCACCTGAAGGGAGAGAGGGGTCCCAGACAGAGGCTACCCCACAGCTGCACCAACCCTGTGGGGCACATGCCTCCTCCCCGAGGGTGTGGCTCAGGCTGGGAGTGTAATGTGTCCTTTACGGTATTATTGTTACCAGATTTTTTTTTTTTACTATTATAACATCCCTAACAGTTAATTTTTCTCCAGGCAGAGTATATCCAGCTTTCTATCAGAGAACTATGGAGCTGTTTGCTATTTCTACAAGTGCCTTTGGCCACTGTATTACAATAGCAAAACATGCTCACTGTGGAAAAAACAGGGGAATATCTTATCATCCAGAGGTAAAGCCACTGTTGATGCTGTGCTACGTGTATGTGTCCCACTAAAGTCACCCACCAGTACTTTCCCTGTGAGTACTCATTCATTCCTATCTTTATCCTACAACCTGGAGACCCTTGTATTGTCCTGGACCACCAGCAGCACTATGGTTGTTGACAACAATAAGTATGGGTTGGGGAGAATGAGAAATGCAGCATCCTGGCTGTTGTGGTCAGCTCTGGCCGCCACAACAAAATACACTGACAGTTATTTCTCACAATTCTGGAGGCTGATGTCCGAGACCGAGGTGCTGTGTGGTTGGTTGCTGGTGGGGGCTGTCTTCCTGCTTCCAGACAGCTGGCTTCTCACTGTGTCCTCCCGTGGAGAGAGAGCTCTGATGTCTCTTTTTATAAAGGCACTAATCCCATTGGGGGGGCCCACCTGGGGGGCCCACCCTCATGACCTTGTCTAACCCTAATCACCTCCCAAAGGCCCACCTCAAAGTATCATCACATTGGAGGTTAGGAGTTTAGCATGTGAATTTTAGGGGCACACTCAGGCCACAGCTGTGACCCCACCCTAGCCCTGCATTCCATCAGGATTCCCGGGTGTCCATGTGTGCACTGATTTTAGAGAAGCACTGCTATAAGAGGTGTCTGTGTACTAAATTTGTTGAAATCATTACACTGAGCCCATAATTGAACATCTTTTCTCATGCCCAGGCTGCCTGATAAGTAGGCAGTATTCGCTGCAGGCTGAGGATGTCCAGCCACTCACTTCTGTGCAAGAACCACGTGCAAACCCCGGGAGGTCTCTCCTCAGCAATTTCACTTGAGAAAACATGTTGCTGATTGTGTGCTTGTGCAGGGCAGCCACTGAGAGAACACGCACACACACACACCACACACACAAACACCACACCACATATACACCACACACACACTATACACCATGCACACCACCACACGTGTTTTGAGTCTTTCCCTCCTTTCCTTTCTCTCCTTCTTTAATAGTATTTTGTTCTACTTCCATGAAAGCAGTATATTCTTGTCTTTTAAGTGGGACACTGATGGGGTTGGGGGAACTAAGTGGAATGCCAGTGGGCTTGGTAACTTTGAGTTCCCCTTTAGAGTGATCTTGCTGGGCCATTTTGTTGGTGAGACTTTCCTCCTGGGCTGGTCACATAGGTCAGGAAACATCCTCCCATCCCCTGTTGGCAGGCAGAGGACTGGCTGCCAGGACTCTGGGGGCTGGCGGGGAGCACATATTTTCACCTGATTTCCCTGAGTTCACTTTGGCACCACTCCTTCAGCTGTGGCTCTCCCACCAAGAGGACCCACTGGTCACCTCTGGGAGAGGAGGTGGGTCACCCAGGGCAACGGGGTGGGGAGGGAATCTAGGGTCTGATGACTTCATGAACAGACTGCACGGCCCTCATAGGTGCCATGTGTCTACCTCACGGGGCGTCTGGAGCTGCTGTGTCCCAGGCCTTTAGGACTTCTGGCTGTAAACTGGTTGATTCCCACTTCCCCAGTGCTGGACAGGATCCTCCGCGTGTGTGGGCCTGTAAGGGCAGCCACCACTGCCTCCTCTCACTTTTAGAGCTTCCAAACATTTCTTATTGTTCCCTCTTTTGTTTTCCCATAATTAAAAAAAACCTTTTGCTATCATCTTAATGGCTCTGTCAGGGAGTGAAATTGCATGCAGATGTTCAAACTGCTTGTTTGCCTGAGAGTTCATTTTAAGTTTGCAATGCCACAAGGACGGTTCCTTTGAAAAATTTTATTTGATTTAGTGAACTGACAAAATGATGTGTACATCTAGCTTTCTGCTTTAAATGTGAATTTCTAATCTTGACAATGTCTCTGCAGTTGTCATTGCACGTTCAGTGTTATTTCTACAATATTTCTCTGCCTTTGTCGTTGGAGTATGAGAATGAGAACACTTGCGCCTGGTTGGACTCTGCCACTTTACACCATGGATAGGGAGCAGTGGTAAATGTGCCCTTGATTAGGATCTAAAAGGATGATTTTAATCTGGGTGGAGCTAGTTGTGAATCTTAGGCCTGAAATCCTGGACAGTAGCTTTCTACTCCACGTGAAAGCCACCTGTAATCCAGTATTCCATGGGCACAGTCTCTCCTTCAAAGAACAATTACTCGTAGGCAATAGTAATTGAAAAGGAATTCCATTTGTTACTTGCATCATTGAAAAATAATTAAGGAGATCCATTCTCCAGCCCCAAACTACACATCGAAAACTCACCTTGCCTCTGCTTCCCAAAGCTCCCTCCAGAATCTCCTGTCGACTCCCACACACCGGGCTCCCCACACCCCTTCTCCTTCTCTCTCAGTTCCTCCTCTCATAGAGTGTTTTAGTGACTCTGGTTCAATTTGCATCACTTTCCTTGTTCTCCTGTTGCTGCCTTCTCCTCACTGGGGACCTGGGCTGACCCGGAGGGCTCTTAGTGGCTGCGGGAAGCGGCGAGTCTACAGGATAAAGAAACCATTCTCTCTCTGGCTGTGGAGTAACAGTGAGAAGG